GATGCCAGCTGGCCACGCGTACATAGGGTCGTACATATTCCGGTATGGCGCACTTAATCAACGCCGAATTTCCCAAATAGACTTCAGTGTTTTCCACGTGCACATGGAATTGACGACGCACCACTGAGAGGCGGAGGCAGAACAAGAACCAGACCCAGAGTCATAGTCAGAGTCAGGGCGAGCACAAAAAGAAACAGAAACAAAAATCAGAGAAAGACTGTCAGAGATATATCGTATATACGTATGCTGGATGCTGGAAAGGAGAGAGCAGGATCCCGAGTGGAAATAAAAGTCAACAAACGTTGCTGTCTGCCCGTTGGCGCAAACGGCGCATACAGATGAGCGCATAAAACGCTTTCGGGTGTAGCAGCATCGCAATCCATGGCGACCATCCCGACCATCGGGTAACGCCTGCGACAACAGCAGGACCAAGCGGGGGCAATAAACGTGGCACAATGCAAAAATGGCAGCAGTTTAAATGAATGAAATCGCTTGAAATTACATGCAAAACGGAAGTTGAAGAGCAGACAAAATACGAAAATCGAAAGAAAGGAAAAAGAATCACACAAGAGACGAAAGGATATATGTATCTGTATGAGTGTGTCGGTGTGTTTGTCAGTGTACTCATGGAGGAACAGATCGAAGCAAATAATAGCGCTGAAGTCGACTGTAAGATACCAACTACTAAAGTACCCTTCTTCAAGGTATATGAAGTTTCATAGTTCCATTTACAATCCACATTCTCACATTTTATATATTCCTCTTAAATTCTATTTCGAATGGATAAGGATTCCGACAATGAGTCGCAATACAACAGAAAAGCTGTTATTGATGATACAAAATTTCTGGGGTATACAAGGAGTCGATTCCTTTTGCCTGTTGTTCTTTTACCTCGTAGAAAAAGAGTGACACAAATGATACACATGGAAAATGCAGAGTGTAAATATTGAATGAGATTTTAAGCGACTATCATGCATCGTTGGTTTTTTGGGGACAGTGCTGGGGGATTGGTTTACTCTGGGCTTGGGGCTATGGGCCAGTAAGTAAATACGCTCAACGCTCGCTGTTTTCGAGGTCAAGCATTAAGAGGCCTGCGAACGGGGAAATGTCAACAGAGAGAGGATAAAATAATTAAGTTAATTTCGGGCAGAATGTTGTAGGGGAGGAGGGAAAATATGTTGCATTGATCGCCTCAAGGCATGATGGCAGCACATGTCAGGAAATGCACAGGAAATGAATGTTATATGAGGTAAAATAGGAAAAAAAAAAAATGGTGGAAAGAAAGAAAAACTGGCGCACAGGTGACAGGCCCAGGGTGGTGGCAGAAAGCAGAATCGCAAAGAATGCAGGGACACCCATCGGCGCAGAGGCATCCGCCAGCTCCAAACGTGAGCGGCTTCGAAATGCTGTCAACATAATGCGCCCAACAGCTTTCCCTCCTCGTGGATCCCCTGAAGCCCCACCATAGTTGGAGTTGCATGCTAATGGTGGGAGGCAGTGGCAGTGCCAGTGCCAGTACCTATAGCCTTCCACACTCCACTCTCAATAGTCGGCCAGCTACTTTACTGTACTTTACGCTTACCTGCCTGCACCTGAACGTTGCGACTGAGAATGGTGCCTGCCTCGTTGCTGGCCTTGCAGCGGTAGGTGGCCTCGTGCACATCCGTGCGATAATATTGCGCCAAAAACGGTGGGAAGTGCAGCGTGCCGTTGCCAGATATTTTCCTAGAAGTACACAAAAGAACCGAATAGCGAAAGGCAAAATGCAATATTTTAGTGGGCACATTCTTCGGGCTTCGTATTTATTTATTTATTTATTTGAAAGGAAGAAGGAGTGCGACTGAGGCGAGAACGTAACACACAAATTTGTTCCACAAAAGCGCCAGCAAAGTGCCTGCCATTTGCTGGCGAGTACCAGTATTTTTACGAGCATAGCACACAGGTCCAAGTACATGGAGCGCAAAGTGTGAATTTACATAAAAATGCAATAAGCGTAATGCTGTGTGTAGTCATAGAGGAATACTTATATCTATGTATAAACATATACACATATTTTACGTATGCATGTTGAACATAAATGATATGAAAGGGTCTAAGCTGCTGTAGTTTGCGGTAGTAGAGTCTGCAACAACAGCTTTGGGATGTCCAAAATCTGCCTTTGCATTCTGCATTTCTTAGTTATTTCGTATTCGAAATCAAATCGTAATTACTAACATTTCTCTCGCATTTCCAGGGATTCCCTTGCTGCCTGCCTGCCTTGTTCCGTAATCCGAATGTCAGTGCACATGAGATGCCAAATCAGACTTTAAGCTGCCACAGAGCTTTAAGCCATTTGATTATCGTTGTGGCTGCAACAGAACACAAAACCCATCAGGTTCCCATCACATAACTCATGCAGGCCCCATCATCCAGTCCTGCTGCAGTCTCACTGCCAGTGCCCGCTAATCATCTCCACTGCAGTCGGGACTAACAAGCACCAACGACAAGGATGAGGATTCGTATGGGGTCTGGGGCTGGGCTGATCCAGAGTTGTCCTTTGCGAGATGGCAAACAGCATCAACCGAAAAAGGGAAAACTTCATCAAGCGCTGTTTTCAAAAATGTTTAAGTGCCAGCAATTTGTTTACGTCTATTGCGTTCGCAGGGAGCACAGGGAAAAAGAGCTTGCCATTCCGTTGTCCGTTCTCCGTTCTCCGTTCTCGGCTGTCCGTCGACAGTTTTTCCGTCCGTCTATCCGTCTCTCTGTCTGTTGGTTGGGTAGATAAGTACACGTCCTATATATGTATGTACGTATACAACCCGTCACTTGAACTGAACTATGCTCTTTAGTAGCTTAAAATAAATTTTGTTTCATTTCTATGCACTGCCGTCGCATTCGAGTTCCTCTCCTCTTTTTTTTCGGGGGGACTCACACACTTGTAATGCCCGGCTTTTGCCGTGAGTATGCGCGTGTGTGTGTGTGTGTGTGTGTGTGTGTGGGACATATCCTGTGTGAGATCACGTATTTGGAATGACATTTCATTTTGCGAAACATAAAAATTCTTTTAGTAAATTTCGTTGCCATATGTGTTGCCCTGCGTGTGTTTTTACAATGTTTTATAGGTATTCATTTTCGGGTCGTGCCGTGGCATGTGCGCTATTTTTTACGATTTATTTCGGTTTCCGTTTGGTTTTATTTCCGCGTGCTTTCGTTATATAATAATCCGTTTAATAGCCCTCCGTATGGATCAACAGCAATTTGTTAACAGCAGCAGCAGCCTAACCCAAACAAATAGTTGCGGATGCAAATCTATGCGAGTGTATGCGTTAATTGTGCAGAGCCCCGGCTAATGGAGGCCAGCAGGAAAAACCGCAAATTAAAGATTTACTTGTGTTTGCACTTGAACGACTAATGTACTCGTCTTGATTAATGTTGCAAGTACATGTGTGCACTCTCGCATCGCATTTAAGTTGTCAGGCGACATTTTTAATATTTTAAATGTTCACAAAGCTGCCACAGACAAATAGATAGAAGTGAGCGGGGGTGGGGTAGATGGACTGGCGTTGTGGTTGGGGCCTGGCATTAACATATGACTGCCGCAGATGCCGTTGCAGCAGCAGCATTACTTTTGTGCAATTTCTTTGGCCTTTTCAGGCAACAAGCAAAAGCACGCCTTTGTTGGGGCCCCTCGGTCTCTGATGCTTCCATTGAAACCGCTGCCACAAAGAGGCTTCTGGGGAATGCGTCTGTTAACATTGATTTTCACAGCTCGACTTTGCAGCGTCTTCGCGCAGGCACGCAGCAATGTCAATTAAAACGAAAGCGATTCCAGAAATAACTTTAATGCAGGGCCCCCCGCGAACAGAAGCCGCAACAATGTGACTTCCAAAACCGCCGTCAGGAAGCCAGACGGCACATACTTATGCAAACACACACTACAGACATACGCTTATTATTACATAAACGCATTGTTGCGGCGACCGCAAAACTTACCTCAGTCCCGGCACCTGGGTCGCCAGCGTTCCGTCGCGCAGCACCCAGGACACGACGGGCGGTGGGTGGCCGTGCGCCGTGCAGCTAACCTGTGCCCCCGTGTCGTTGCCAAAGAGCAGCCGGGGTGCGGGCTCCAGCAGGAATGTAGGTACACGTAAGCCGCTTGTGGCCAGGACTGGCGGCAGTGGCAGGAACACGAGCAGCAACAGCAGTAGCCCTAATGCTGTGGCAGTGAGCGCTGAAAAGGGGTAACCCCCAAGGAGAGGTGGAAAGAGAGCGTGTAGCAGGTTAATTATCAACATTGTCGTTATACGTATACGAGTATAGTTTGCTTAAAACTTTAATGTCGTTGTAGCTGTTGCTGCCGGCAGTCTGCACTCCCCAGCCATGTGTGTGCTTTGTGCCTCAAGTGCAACTCATAAATGCGGTTAATTTGGATTCGGTTTCGTTCGCTTGCCACAGGGGCAAGCCTGATTCGCAGCCGAGCCTCCTTAGCAGCGGCTTGCGTGGATGCAGTTCACTTTTCAGATATATTTATGCAGTCTGAGTTGTTTATTTGCCAGAAGCCAGCAGCCACAGGAGCAGGAGCAGCAGTGCAACGAAAACAGGAAGGGCATTCAACACTGAACACCGACACTGGAAATACTCTTCCAGGTAATAACATAAAATAGTACACGGATGCAAGTACGTACATTGCAAGCTTCTGTGCTGCAAAAGTGGACTAACTCTTCTGAAAGGGTATAGAAACTCAGAACTTACCTTTTGACTTGGCTAGAAGAAGAAGCTCTAATAAACCCATTTCGTTGCATGTAAATTCTGTGTTGGATGTAGAAAATTAAATTTTGTTTCGTTTATTATTCCAGCTGCTTGTTTATTTTCTCAATATGCAATATGCAGGAACATCTACGGGCACAAAGGTCGGTCTTTCGTTTTGGTTGGGTTTGCCTTTTGCATAAACTGCTTGCTGTTTGCTGTTTGCTTATTTCTGTTTTTCCTCTTTTCTGTTTTCTGTTTTTGTTTGGAAATTTGTGCAGTTTTGTTTCCTTTGTATCCAGCCACCTGAAATATATAGAAAACGAAAGCCAACGTTTTAATTTACATATGCATTATGAAAATGTTTGGCTTTCTTTTGTTTGGCTGGCCAATTTGTAAAACTCAGAGTCTCGAGAGCAACAAAAAAGAGGAGGGGTTTAGCAATTATTGCATGCTTCCGGCCAGTCCGAAATGTTTTTGTAAATAAAGATTGGCAGAGCCAAATATAAGCTAAAATGTGTCGTTATATATTTAATGATGAGAATAGTTTTGGGGCAGTTCGGATTATTATTCAAACTTTTCTTATTGTCTGAACATTAGATGCTCGAGGGTGATAAGTGAAACAGTTCAGAGAACATTTTAGAGCCGTGTTTAAGACTGAATATCTTCAGAATACAGTGTGAAAGCTATGCATGTTATATATCAAATATGTTCCCCTTGTACCCTGTACTCTTAAATTTCAATATGCATACCCGATGAAAGCGTTTCCCCCAACCTCTTCTGTGTATTTTCGTGTCAAGTTCAAATCATTTTCGTGATAAAGGACACTGGCTGGGCAACGATTTGCAGTCTGAGTTGCGCAAACAATCCGAGCGACAATTACAACAATACGATTCGGGATACAGAACACAAAGTGCTGAATAAATACGTATGCCAGACTCGACAACACACGACGACATAGGCGAGAAATCAACATCAGTCCGCCGCATTGGGAGGCTTCTGGTACTGGTACTGGTACTGCCACTGCCACTGCCTCTGCCACATCCACAACTTGTACCCGTAAATACATGGACGACACACACTCGCACAGAGAGCAATCCTCCGTTTGCTTTGCTGTAGAGCTCTTGGTAAATACATTTAACGAGTATTTATGAGCGAGCATACGAAATGAATGACTTTTGCCATCATTAAATTTTATTTGGAATGGCACAGGCCAAGTTCTCTCCGCTTCGCTCCAACCCCATGGAATACATGAGCGCCCGACTACAATGAAGAAGACATAAACATGTTTTGAGGTCGAGAAGCAGGAGTTCAACAGCCCAGTAGAAAGTTCGAGCCGAATCCTTTTCCATCCTTAGTCGGGCGGGCACTTAGCTTAGCGACTAAATAAACATCATCATGACACCCATTCCAAGAATCGACAGGAGCTGGAGAGTCTGGGCGGGAGAAGGGGAAGGTCTATTTGGGCGGTGAGGGTCACACTGAAGAGTTCCTTTTTATGTTTGCAACTTGACACCTTTTCATTGAGTGGCGGGGCGGCTTAGACCCATGGTCTCGACCCATGTGTGGGCGTGTGTGAGGCATCTCTGTTTGCATTTAATTGAGAATTTTAAATGATTTGTTTATTTTTGCAGCGTCTTTTGTCGAGCGATTTGCCACGAGCAATTCGTTTCTTTGCCTAACACTTGCACGGCGTCACAGTCATTACAAACAAGAGAGAGAAAAAAAGGAAACGGAAACCTGAGTGTGTGGGCTCTTTCTCTCAGTGTGGGTGGGGGTGTGGCTGTGTTTGCCTTTCATTTTTAATGAGTTTTTATTTTCCCGCTTTTGTGTGTCGCTCTCTGGCCCGTCCAACTGCCAGAGTCTGTCTCCAAGCGCTCCTGCTTCAGGCGGGAGTTGGAGAGACCTGAGGCCGGGGCATCTCCAGTTGTCAGGATACTGCCACAGCCTCCGCTCCAGCTCCGTCGCACAAAGCGATTACTTTGGCTTGTCCCCGTATGTGTGCCTGGTGTCATAACTGCTAACTGTCAGCAAATTTGACACTAAATACGAGTATGTGGCCGCCGCTTTAGTTCTGTCACTCTAGATTATGGTAACTCCCGGCTCAGGCACATGTGTCTGAGAGCGGGTGTGCGTGTTGAGCTCTGGTTTTATTTAGTTTACTTATTTTTCTGCGATGTGTGACTATGAACATTATGGCTGTTTATTTGTTTTGATAATCCAGTGGCTGCGAAAACACACGCTCCTGTTGGCGTTGTCCCCAGCGTGGCAAAAGTTTTTTTCCCAACGTTTCGCTAATTGAGTATGAATTATTCAATAGAGGTTCTTCAACTGGGATAATTAAATAGCGCAAATGGATCGTAGTTTTACCAAAAAGTTGACTATTGGTAATGCTCGCCTTTGCTCGTCTAAATTAACTTTACCTTTAAATTCAAATAAATCCCAGTACTTTCATAGGATTTTAAAACAGTTTCGGATTTCCAATTTCGATTTATGAGCTTGGTATTATAAATCAGTTTATCAGACAAATAGATTTATACATATGTTAAGATATCTTAAACGTAAAACCGTTCTTATTCGATATATGTACTAGCTGACCCGGCATGTTGTTGGAACGAGGTAATTTAAAAGCATAATGTGAATGTGCTCGTGGACCTCAGGAACAGGCTTGAAACTGGATCCGTGCCGATGAGCAAGTCCGTCTTCATTTCTGGTAGTCGCACTTTTTTCATGTTTGAATTTGAGCGATGACAATGCGGACATTCCTTGTCTATAGCACAAATCAGCACTTTCGGATGAGCGGAATACTCAATATTTGTCTCGTTAGATGTATTATACATACACGCATTGGTTTAAGGAATTCTATAACCCTACCATCGTGCATGAGTAATAAGAATTGCATTTGTTCTGTAAGTATATTCTTCGCTTTTTAATCCGACAGACAAGAAAAACTTTAGAAACATCTTGAGTGACTTTCGACTATAAATCAATGTGAAAATGAGGCGGAAACCTTATTAACACTAATTTTACTCAGACTGATATTTTTATCTTATTCCTGACATTTCAATAGACGGACAGCAGCGGATAGCAGAGCCTTAAAAACTTTTCTACAAATCTGAAGTGACTTTCGAAGTCTTTGACGGTCACTTGGGACTGGGGACACCAAAAGGTTTCCTCAACTTGAAGCAGACACTGTGAACTTTTGTTACATAACATACCTAGGAGTTTCCAGAGAAAGGTAGATTTTTTGAGAATGTGTTAAAATGTAAGATGTATGCTACTGAAATTGCGCTACTCATCCTCCAGCACCAGCTAGATGATAATAAGCCAATGAGAGAGCTCCCCAAGAAAGCATTAGCATCCTGAAGCTTAGCTCCAACAATTGGCAATAGTTGCTAACAGGGTAATCAATCTTGCACAATGAAATCCCCAAAAGAGGCTACTTGCAAAGGCTCCTGCTACTGCTGGCCAATGGGCCTGGATACTCCAGGAGTCCTCAGCGCGGCATGCACCTTGAGCACACGAGTGGACGGATGGAGGTGTTTTTTTTTTTGCCCCGTGTATGTTTTGTGCGGTGTGAAAGGCTTTAAGTGGGAAACGCCACAACAAACAGCAACAGCACGATGCAGCGTAAGCAAAAGCAATAGCAGTGTGGCAACAGCAACAGCAAGAGCAACAATTCAAAGACTGGCACCCTTGGTCATGCCTTCATGTGTTTCAGAGGCAGTCGAGCGCAAATGCCATGCCACCCACTAGCCACCCCCTCACTAGGTGCCTGGCTGAGGTTAAACGTTGCTGCATCCGCAACTGCCACGCCCTTATCCGGTGAGAGGCGCGGCTGGAGAGGGTGGCAGGCGTTAAGCAATATAATTTTTCTTGCTTTGAGTCGGAGCTGTTGAATCGTTTTAATGCTCGTCACCTGCGATGTTTGCTTTCTTTTTATTCTCGGCCCTCGCTTGCAGGCGCAGTGCATGCGATGTGAACTGTGTTATGCATACTCGTACTCGTACTCGTACTCGTACTTTGGGGCGGATGTGTTTGCGTTTAGCGTCGGTTGACAGCCTGGCAATTTATATGCCCGACTTCCTGCCCAACGGGAGTTTAAAGGCGACTTTAAGCAACACAACAGCGCCCCAACCCAAGCAATTTCCTGTCGCCAGCACCCACTTCAAGTTCTCTCCTTCCCAATCCCCCTAAACAATGGATCCATTTGCACTCGCCCAGACTGAAGTGCAACTCTTTGGTTACGGCCAACAATGGCTTAGGCCGCAAGTCAAAGAGCATCCGTCGCGGACTCCACACTCGTAAATGGCTATGGCTACGGCTATGGCTATGGCTATGGCTACGGCTATGGCTATGGCCCCGCACAAAAGCGGCCACTGGAACAATGTACCCAGCTCCCCAGCACCGGACAGAAGTGGAACTCGAACTGGAGACTGGGACTAGGACTGGGCGGAAATCCAAAGGCGACGAGCCACCTAATAACATTTTTCCCTGCCAGCCGCCTTCCCCTATGCAGAGTGCTCCTCCTCATTTCGCGTGTCCCAACAAATGTTTGGCCACCTTTTATATTACATCAATTCTGGCACAACAATTGTCTGCCGGGGCCGCACAGCAACAAGAAAAATGAGCCAAAGCAACAAAATGTAATGGGCGCGCATATTTTTTGTTCTCCCATGGCAACTTTCTATTGTTTGTCGTTGCAATGCTCCCGCTCCCAACGGGGATCAAGAGGTGGCAGATACTAGTATATATTGTATGTACCCGTACATATAGAAAGGTAGAATGGTATGGGATAGGCAGCAGCTGGGGCAGCTAACGGTTCAGCGATGCTGCATTGTCACATTGACAGACCCCCGAGCTGGGGGCTGCCGCTTTATCATTGTTCTTGTTCTTGTTCTTGTTCTTGTCCCTCTGGCGTTTTGGAGTGCCTTTGTGCCATTGCTGCCTCTGATGCCACTGTCACCGCTGCTGTGTGTATTTCTCGTGCAGCGAGAGGTTCTTGTTGTTATTATGAATAAAGTTGACTTGAGTGGATTGCGAGGGCTTTGGCCATGGCGCTGTCTAACAAATAAATTTAATTGGTACAAGAGCTGACAGCGAACCTCGCAGAACTCTTTAAACGGCTGAATGTTGCCGTTGATGGCGAGTAAAGGTGATAAATGAGGAAGTAATTTGCGGCGAAATTGGTGCGATGGAAGGACGTGACGATATAATGAGATCACAAATTACAGCAGTACTTGGAAAAACGGTTATATCTTATAGAGCGTTGATTGTATTGAATGGGAAGGCTACAAAAACTCTGAAAACTTTGACGAATGTTTCGAAAATCCAATAAATTCCAGGGCGAAGCAATGCGCAACATTTATAAAAGATACTCGTAAAAGCAACAAAGAAAAAGCACTGCTCGTAAAACATTCCAATAGAAATGTACACGTTTTTCCAACCCGAATTCCCTTTTGCTTTGTAAGGGCCCTATCACAGCCAGAGCTCTCTTTCCGATTGGCTTTTCACTCTCATTCGGTGCATACAAATATTTTCACAGATTAAAATTTAATAGAGGACCCTACCCGCCTGGGACCCATCCCCCTAACCGGCAGCCAATTCCAGCCCGTTCGAGTGGCAATGCCAACCTTATGCAACATTCGAGCTTATCTAGGGGCAATGCATAATTCAATAGCTTGTGGATCCCAGAAGCAAGACCCCAAAATACGCCAACGATACAGAGAGAAACAGAGAGAGAGAGAGAGGACGAGGAGGAGCGAAAAAGGATACCAAAAAGCCATCGAAGTTGTGCAATTTTTATTGGCGCTGCAAAAGCCACTGCAACTCAATTTGCTTAAACTAAGCAGCACAGAAATTCCGAGCCGAGCGGAAAATAAAAACTGCGAATCATTCAGTGAAATTACCTCGTTATCTTGGGCCGCAGACTGCTGCTGGATTTGCTTTTCGAGTCCCAGCTCCTGCTCCAAATGAATGGGAGTCCTTAGTCTTTTGGAGGAAAGCTGCATGCATGCAAGATCTTCGGCCAGCCAGCACTTACATTGAGTTGTCTGGCATCAAATTGTGATTTTATTATTTTTGGCACTCAGCCAGGGAATGCCTCATGCACACACACACACTCACACACACACATGAACTAACACATATGGCTGGCAGCTTACATATGCTAGACGAAAAAAAATGCGGCTGCATTCAACAATTGCCAAAAGGTGGCCAGAAAAAACATATAAGGAGTGGGTGGAAAAGAAGGAAGCGGATACAGAGCAGAAAGGAGCCTCGCGACCATAAATTATACGCAGTGCATAGACGGTAAATTTTTATGGACTGTGACTAGGCTACGATTTTTCATCCTTCTTCCTTTTATCCTCCGGTTTCCTCTCTCCTCCTTCCGATACGTTTTTTCCTGGTTCCTTTTTTTCGCTTTTTTTTTTTTTTTTTCTTTCTGGCTATTGTTGCCGCAATTTTATCACACTTTGATAATCGCATGGCACATGCTTCACGGCACGTCAGCGTTGACAGCGCCGTGGCCATTCGATTCAATTTGCCGCCTGGCAGCGCTCTGCGCTCCATAAAGTTTCACAAAAAGTCACCATTGTAGCTCTTCGTTGGCTGTCGGTTGCTGCTACATTTGCATTTTTCCCACGACTGACTTGAAAATTGGAATTTCGAAGGAGTTTCTCAGTTTTTTTTTCGGGTTCACTTTGCAACCTTTTTCACACTTTTCCATTAGCCTTCACTTTGCAGACCCCGGCCGGCCTGCTTAGCGCTCAAATTATTTCACCTTTTATTCAATTTACTTTATCCACTTGCCAGGGCTGCCCCTCGCTGTGTCTGCGTGTGTGTGTATGTGTGTTGTGTATGCACCAGCCAGCTTCCGTTTCCGCTTCCGTTCACGTTAGGGGGGCGTCCGAGGCACACACAAAGCGTTTCGGGCCAGCGAAAATCCACTTTTGTTACATTTTTTATGAACACATTCGTGCGGACAAATAACCCGTAAAGTCAGTAAAATCCACGATAAAACCAAACACCATACACACACACACAAACCGAGAGGTCTCACAGAGGCCCAGACACACACATGAGCAAGCGAGAGCGCAAACAAAAATGTCAGCAAACAAAATTGTGCTGCATAGTTTTAGGCAGCAACAAAATCATACAGCCCAGCAGACCCACACAGGCACACACGTGTACATTGATACATATTTATCCCTTTATGCCCAGACACACGCACACACCACACACGCATACATACATACACACACTGGCCACTATCACCGATGGCGCTCTAGCTGTAGTCGCCCCGAGGCGGCAGCGGTAACGGCAGCATCCATTAATGCTTTTTCCATTAAATCCCCAAATAGTGCCTAGCACACACACTCACCCATACACCGATACATTTCAACTATCACATGTGTGTGTGTGTGTGTGTGTGGAAGGATATGCTTAACTAATACTAAAACACTGTGATTCTGCCATTACCACTCGCAACAATTTCCGATTTCGTCCGATGGACACGTCCAAACAGTTCGAAACGCCGGCAATGACTGAATCCTGCAATCGTCCTTCGCTGCCTGCTGCCTGCGTTACTGCCAGCAGCCTCTGCCCGTATCATCCTCGACAGCAGCGTCTGTCGGTGGGGCTTATCTCTGTCAGCGTAATCGCTTCACACCCGCCCCCAAGCCCCAGTCCAGGCTGTAACTGTAACTGTTGCCACACGTGGCCCCCAATCGAACGGCGCCGACTGCTCTGCCAGCTCCGCTGTCAACGCAGCGCCGACGCAGGCTTTGGTGTTTCTCTTCTCTCGCTTGGCGCTCTCTTTGCTATCTGTCTGGCATGCACCAACAAAGAGAGAGGAGAGTATTCTATGGCATAGAGTGAGAGAATGAGTAAAACAAAGTCTCAGACAAAGCGAGAAAGACAGTGAGAAGAGCGGAACAGAGGCAGAGTACACTTGTTGTTGATATTGTCGTGCATATTTCAATATAATAAATTTTAGAAAAATTTTAAAAAACAGAAAACCTGATAATTGTCGAACAAATTATTTTATTTGGACGAATGCCTTGTAATGCCGAGGTTACAATTTTTACAAAAAACTAACTACAGTTTTCCCACTATTTTCAGTGAACGAATTCTTAAACAACGCTTAATCAATTCGACTTTCCATGAGTTTTTCAATATAAAATTATACTGGTTTATACAGGCTGTACTCTTCAAACTTAAATAAAATTGAAAATTCATTTATTTGACAACCCATATTTATTTTAATATCTATTCAATGCTAAGCCATCCTTCTATTCATTGTTATTTCATAAAATATTCGAAATCTCATCTGTCAATAACCACAAAGTTCAATACCTTTGACTAGTTTTCTATCCTTATTTATATTTACTATTTTTTGCCATTTCCATTCAGAGTACAACTCGTTTTGCCATTTCACAATCCTGCGGCTCTGTGGTCCATGGACACTTCATCACCTCGGCGGTGGCATCTGACATCATAAATCACACGGACTGTCCGATGCACGAATGCCACTTTGGCGCCAAAAGTTATGCTACATAAAGCACGACAGCCAACCACGAGTCTGTTTCCCTCTCTCCCTCCCGACCATGGCACGCCGTTTTTCATCAACGCCAGCACCGCCTTACTACGCGACTTTTAGCGTAAACTGTCATTCAGCTTTTCGCTCGCACATTTTGTTGTTGCTTATTTATTTGTTTACCCTTCATGTTCACCCCCACTCTTCAATAAATTGGTCGAGCACGTGTTGCTTCCGCTGCTGCTGTCTCTCTCTGCTGTCAACAAACGCAGAGCGCAGGCGCGCTCTTCCAGCGTCGACTGCGGCAGAGCACTGGCAGAATTGAAAAGTTTTTCAAAAAAATACTTGACCTAGGGCAAATCGAAAGACAGCGAGCGGGCGAGCATGTTGCACGCATTGAATGCCACTTGAATAGACACACATACTCGTTATCGTACACATGCTCGTGCGCTGGGAAGTGTGGCTGTGTGGCTGTGTGGTTGAGAGCTACAGCTGTCAAAGCGCATTATCATTTTCATATATCATGGCAAATACGAAAGGTTATTCCCATATCGTGCGGTCGTAACGAGGGGGAAAGGTGAAAGCTATTATGATGTTTCTGTGCTCCGGCAAAATGATGAATCCACTCAATTTCCAGCACTTGCCGCAGGCGGGAGAGGCACGGCACCCACTTGGGCCGATAAATCATCGCCGGGCGTCAAATGAAATTGCATAACTCGATTGCCAGCCAAACATATTTGCTTTGTCATTAATATTTCCATACAGGTATGCTTTGCTCTCTGCCTTCTTCATTCTGCTCGCTGCTCTTTCCTTTCCCGCTGCCGCTTCTGGTCTTTTGCTAAGCAGCGTGGATATTGAGTATACGCACTGTGCGATTCACTGGCGAAAATGCTTTGTAATTAAATTTAAAAGCATTTTATGCAGCGCAGCTTAAGTGAATTATTAGCACACATACAAACAAGAGCCAGGACAGCCACATGAGAATGGAGGACTGGGGGCTACGCTTAAACAAATGACTTTGGCCATTTATGTGCAGCTCTTAAATAAATTACAAAATTGTTATAATTTGGCGAGAAGGCAGGACCAAGGGCCGACAAGCAAGAGCCCGGGCCTGCAAGCTTGAAGCTATTGAAGATGTTTTGCTGCTGGGTCCTGTTGCTTTTTGCTCGGCCTTCCGCATGTGTGTGGCATGATGGTGTGTGGCTTTTTGCGCCTTTTCGTGTCGGAAATTGTTTGGTGTGAACTTGGGCCCAAGCAAATGGCATAATTTACGTAGTCCGCTTATCTCGGCATTTAATTTTAGATTTACGGCTTTAATGGCTATCCGGCAGGCAGTGCCTCTTCGTGCCAGTTCTCCTTTGGTTTAGATAAGTATAACCCGAGTTGGCATGTCTGAATTTTATGACCAGGAATGGACTATTTATGTTCCAGCTCTAGCCATCCGTGGTCTCTAAAACATGGCATCTGCAAAGGTTCTACTTACTTGGTTGCACATGTATCAAAGTAAAACAGTTATAAGAAACCCGTCCAATGTACTCTGGGAATATTCATTAATTTTTGGTGCCTCTTTCACTATTTTATATACCTTCTAGGACTTCTAGGACAAAAGTTGCCAAGTATAATAATAATTAACTTTATAACCCTCAAATAGTTGCCATAACCTACAGTCCCGAAACTTTTCCAAACTCATTTCAAGTTCATCAAGCTTTCGCACCTTCCATTTTCAATTTCCAGCCCCCTCCCAGGCCAGGGCCAGGACCAGGACACACACACCCAGAGACGTCATAATTTGTGCTTAAAGTGTCATTAAAATATAATTACGCCACAACAATAAAAAGCCCCAAAAATAAGCAAATTATTTAAGTTGCCATGGCTGACACAATGCTAATACAAGCTCTTCCCCCCTTGGGTGCTTATCCTCCCCCTCTGGAGCCCTCTGGAGCCCAAAGCCATGGATACCCTGAACTTTCTCTTGCCGCAACAACTGCAACAACAATAACTACGAGAGAAGCGGCAGCAGCAGAGAAGGAGTTGAAGGAGGAGGAAAAAGTGTTTGGCAGTACACGAAAAGTTTTCGCCGAGGTTGGGTAGGTCTGCAATGCTTGTTGAGTGGTGCAGACCGCAACAGTCTGGCCCCAAAGAGGGCGACGGTGATGGTGCCGATGATGATGCCAGTCGTGGTCTCTGGCCTGGTGCCGGTGTCGGTGCCAACAAAAAGCCATAACAAGACCGCATCATTATCATGAAAGCAAGAAATAGAGCAACGGTGCCAGCAGCCAACAGCCAGCAGGAGCCAGGAGCCACCAGCCAACAGCCAGATGAAGAACGAATCGGAAGCGTGGTGCTGTGGCAAACCCAGGACAGCAATTTTGTGGCTGGGACTTGCTCAGCTTGTTATAGCAGCGGCAAAATTTAATAAGCGTTTTATTATATTACAAGAGCACCAACAACCACAGCCGCCCTGCCATAGTCATACAGTCAGCAGCCATGGCAGCCAGTGAGTGAATCATAAGACAAAGTTCGCTGAAAATCCGAGCCAGGGGCAACACTTGTTGCTATCCCTACGCCCATTAGCCAAATGTGTTAATTGTTGGTTAATCGATTACTGACTCTAAACTCGTAAATATTCGATAAAATGCATCATCAATTTCATGGACAGATCATATCTTGCTTGGGTCAACAACTATGAAAAGTAAACTTTTATTGAGGTCGAAAAGTTTTGAACTTGCACCTCCTCCTCGTAATATTAATAGTTTTTGGCAGATTTTGTGAGTTCGCTGAGGTGGATAATTGTGCGGCATATCGGCAAAACCAGGAGAACAACTCCATTGCGGCTTGTGGGTGCTTGTGGTATGGTTCCCGTTCCGTTCCCCCATCTTAGGCAATCGGCAATCGAGGTTCATTTGCCACGCTTCATTGGGTTTTATTGAAGCACTGGAAATGCGAGTGCGAGGTCTGCGGCTGGTCATTTCATTTACCTGTGCGCATTGATAAGTGGCAAATTGTTTAAGCCATAAATCATTTAAGCCAACGTTTAATATGAGCTCTAGCCTGACAGGGAATTAATTAAATGGCCATTGAGTCAAGGCTGGTGGATAGAGTGCGTCCGAAAATGTTTGTTAATGAAAGTGCAATAATTTATGCATGCCCTCGGATTTTAATGCATTTTTGTGGCATTTAAATTGCTTGACTACAGCATGAATGCAGCGCCGGTGGTTACGCATACGCCACGTCCGCCCGGCTCCATGCAAAGCGGTAGTACGTCTGGTCTGGTCTGGCCTGGCAATTATTAACATCGACTTGTTGGCGGCATGCAATTTCCGTTGATGCGTGGCAATGCAATTATGAAAATTATGCGACAGTCAACTTTCTCCTCATCGTCTCTCCTCGTCTTCCTGAGCAAATCACTCAGTGTCCGTAGATAATGTCAATCTCCCAGGCTTACGAGAAAACGAGCAAAAACCCTATAGCTGACATTCCAACTGAAAGATACCCACTGCTCGTCAGAAGAGAAATTTCACAAAAACCTCCAAAGTAAAATGGATGCAAGGACTATAACATAGAAAATATTTGTTATTTGAAACAGGTATCATCATAATTGGAAATTACTAAAGTTTCTTATATTTAGGCTGATCAAAAATAAGTTCGCATTTGATCGAGTACAATATACCCTTCTGCTGTACGAGAGTACCTCGCATAAAAAGATAGAAAATTTCACCGCACATACTTACTCATACAGCCAGAACTCTGATATACACATACGTAGGCGGGGCAGACTCGAAGCGAGCTGTCAGCGTCTACTGGCAGGGCTTTTGTGTAGTTGACTTAAGTTCATCCTCAGACCCGCCTCCCCCTGCTCGTATGGGTGTTGGGTTGGGAGAGAGAGAGAGGGAGAGAGAGAGTGGGAAGAGAATGAGAGTGCGGGCGCGGGTCTGTTACGCCAGCATTACTTGTCAAGTGAGCTTCAATTTCAATG